TGTACTATCGCCGAATTTAGTTTCACGCATAGGCCGCTCCAAATCAAATGTAAACTGTGCGACGAGGCGCAGCGCGGCGTGGCGCGTTTCGGAGATATCGGGTGCTGACTGGACCTATCTCATGTCATGCCAACGAGGAAAACGGAGCCACATGAACAATTGACAAATCTGCTACTTTTTCAAGAAAATATCCCTCAGACAAGCATTTATAGGTGCAAACTATAATAGACAGCGCAACACCGCGTTCACCCGAAAATAGAGCTAACATTTCATGAGGTGCAACTGATTTTTTCTTCTAGCCGCCGCGCCGGCAGGTTGCATGGAGTTCTTTGAGACAAAGGCGTATGCGCGCATCCGCCCTTTTTCGGGAGAACGCGTTTTCTGAAACTTGATTACTCCTAATTTTAGGAAATATGCAGAGTGCACGAATAATTCCCGCTCCCCCCCCTTTTTGACCCTCCCTCAAGGGGGGAAACTTTCTTCTTCCAAGCTGAAACCCCTAACTTGTGATACGTTTTTGGAGAGAACATCAAGGACAAAGAATTTTTCAATACCTCAATCTTTGACCGAGTTATGATATGCCAAAGGCCAAAGGTCTTTTTTCCAAAAATCATATCTTAGGTTTAAATTACCGTAGAAAAAAAATAAAACAAGAAAATTTACCGAATTGTTAGCTTTTTAAGTAAAAATTACAGAAATAATTTCAAACTAATTTTAAGGAGGATTTCGGACCCCAAAATACGTCAGTTCAAAAGTCATACGATTCTCCTGCGAAATTAGCCAATTCTCCGTAACTTTGTCCCAACATTATCTCGTCAAGTTCCAAATTAGTTGGACATTACGTTCTCAAGTACCCAAATTTTGGGCAAAGTTCAAAAATCGAAAATTTAATCGACTTTAATCAACTTGAAACACCTTAAATTTTGTTTCTTGAACTTTGCCCAAAATTTTGACTCAAATTCATGACTTTCCGGAGTGATCTTTTAGGGTAATATACTTCTCTTTTACTTTAAATTGTTCTAAATGGCTTCTTTTCCCACTTACCTCTGTTTTTCATAAAATTTTTTCCAGAAAGGTAAAATTATTAACTAGTAAGCTATAGCCTTTCGAACAAGGGCGTATACAACGATCCACATTATCCTGCAGAAATCATAGGGGAATGTAGTCATAATGTTCCGTTTTTGCAAGTAAATTGTCAAAGACTTGTTCTTCCAAACTAATTAAATTCCGTGCGTAGATATTGGTTAGAACCAGCGCTATACACTTTTGAACTGTCAAATGCGATTTCCTCGGAACTACTTTTCCGGTCATGCGACCTTGTTCCAAAGAACTCCTCAATTCAGCATACACTTTTTCGCGTAGGAAGTTTGAAAATGACGCAAGAGGCAAGACTGATCGGCTGTAGAATATGAAAGATTACACAAGTATGCACCGAAAAAATAGTTAGTGCTTTAATAGCGAATTCTCGTGTAATATTCAGCCGTGGGTCCAAGTATGACCTTGGTTTTTTCCCTGTCTCCGCCGATTTCCCGGCATATTGGGATTCTTTAGAAGGAATTTTCCTAGGAAAATCTAATTTCCTGGAGATTAATGCATGATTGAGATTATTAAGGTATTTTAGCGCACTTGTATCGCATACCGCATGTCTAAAAATGTGCCTTCCTTTTTCTGATAACAAGGTTTTCCGGTCGAAATGGCATATTCTACTTACAATCCTAATATATAATTTGAAAAATAGAATGAAATTGTGAATTAACCTCTGTACTAATTGCGAGGGGCGTTGGTTCATTTGAAAGGTGTTGTACTCAATGCTTCGGGAAAATTATAAATTATTTTCTGGGGTTTGTCCCCGATTTTTAAATCTCTAAAA